AAAAATTTTTTTCCTATTTTTTTGGAGATTTCTCTAAATTTCTCAAAATCTATCGGTCCGAATCGGTTCAAATTCTCAGGAGATCTAAGTTTAGCGAAGCCCTTTTGAATGCCACCAACCGCGATGAAATCGGTTCAACCGTTCAAAAGTTATAAGTGATTCACATACTTACACACACACATACACACATACACACATACATACATACATACATACATACATACAGACGTACGGACATCATCGTGAAAATAGTCAGGAAAGCTTCCTAGGACCTCGAAACGTCGAGATCCGATGAAAACTCAATTTTTGAAAAACGGGGTGAAAACAATAACTTCCCAATTTTTGAAAATTTTCAATTTTCTTAGCGGGAAGTTAAAAATTATAAAATTTTTATATAATTATAAATATAACCAAATTATAATTACTTACTGTTAAATTCAAAAAATTTTCTGCTTAAGTCGAAAAATATTGAAGAGTTAAATGTTCAATTAAGATAAAAAATTTATATTTTCATCAATATAAATGTGAAACTCATTGATTTGAAATAATTGCCCCATTTGACTTGATCATAAAATGTTTTAAAAAAATTCATATATTTATTCAATGATTATTTTTATCATTTGATAAAAAATTTCGATAGTTCTTGCAGACAAATTTTTCTAGTTGGCCTGATAGTATAAAAAATCAATTACGTAAAACTATATTTATAGAATTTATAAAATTATATTTTTTGGCAGGTAATACATCTGATATTTAAAAAACGCAATTCGGCCACACCCGAAATGGAAGGTAGATTTCATAGAATGAATTATCATTTTGTCTCAATAACTTTCGTTTAGCATTGAATGAAATTTATTTTAACATTGAACTCTTAACTTCGATAAAATGACTAATAATTGTCAAAAAGTTAACGTTATATACGTCAAATTAGAGGTAATTTTGCGAACTTTCACATAAATTTATCAAAAATTAGCTATCTTTTTCTTATCAAAAGTTATTCACTAATGAGACCTGCAATTTCTTTATCTGAAACTTTCAATGTTCATTACAAATTTTTTTTTCATATCAATTATTATTCATTTTTGTAAGAGAGACACGGGAATGTTATATAATGATTGCACATTGAAAGTTACAATGAATAATTAGGTAGAATAATTACATGAATAAAAGGTGCATGCCAATTCGATAGAATTGGAAATCTGTACAAGTCAAAACAATACTCTAATTAAATTTCAATTCTAGATGTAAAAATGCAATTTTATAAAGTGCCGAGCGAACAAATTATAATTTTCATTTGTACTTCGCCTTTAGTTACTAAGTTATACTCTGCATAAATTCTTTTTTGACGTTATTATTGACCTTCTAGCTGTTAGGTCTTTTTATATTGAAATAATTAAAATTTAATATATTTATTAAAAATTTGCCAGAACATAACACAATACTTTAAAATAATATTATGCAATATTAATTAACGCAAAAAAAAAAACAGAACTTGGTTGATCCCAAAATAATTATTAATCTTAAACATTTCATTATTTTTAATGTGTGTAATCTCGCACTTGAATAAATTTTGAATTTTAATTATTTTCATGTGCATAAAAAAAGTATCCGCACGTCCATTTAAAGTCAAGTTGCTTAAATGATTGATAAGACCGGATCGTCAGATTAAAATAATATATTTGAGATTTATATAAAGTAAACTATAAAGAATGATTTTCACATTATCGTATATTATTGCGTCAATTTTATTTTCGGGTGTATTTTTGTTGACAATCGTATACTTTTACGTCCATCTAAGAACTGAAGGACGTCTTTGTAATTTGATCCCCGGACCTAAATCGTATCCAATCATCGGCAATTTCTTGGACTTAGCAGGACATCCGGGTAAGATAAAAATATTTTTTATATTTGAAATTCTTATTTCACAGTATATTTATTAAAATTTTTAGAAGATCTTTGGCATGCTGGACGGCGCAATTCGATTAAGTATTACCCTGTTTGGAAAATTTGGGCCGGAATATGGCCAGTTGTCACAATCTATCACCCGGATGATGCTCAGGTAAATTTTTTCTTTTTGAATGCTTTTTAAATTAATTTTATGAATTGAGATATTTATTTTTATTTTAAATTATTGAAGATTCTGCTAACTAGCACAAAACATCTGGAGAAAAGTGTAATTTATGATCTATTACATCCTTGGTTGCAAGATGGATTGATTAATAGTAAAGGTAAATAATTAATTACAAAATAAATAAAAAAAAAAACATATTTTTTATAATATACAACTTCTGTTACAATAAAACAATAACATCAAAACGAATGCAAAAGTAAATTTTCATTAAATCTGTCTGCAGATTTTATGACATCATAAAAAAATTATCAAAAGTTTACAGTTGATAATACACTGAAACAATGTTATCATAACTAAAATTAGAATTTTACCAATACATAAAGCAATTCAAAACTTTAATCGGGTTCCGTAAGATAGACAGTGGTGTTTACTACTCGGTGGGTCTTATTAGGTGACTGAAAAGTAGGTACGGACAATTTCTCGAATAGTTTAAACGGTAGAGCCTTTAGGGTTAAACCCAATGGTCCAGGTTCGAGTCCTGGTCAGTCCGAAATATTTTTTTCGGTTTTTCATTTATTATCCATCGGAAAACTCCGATGAAACTAGCAAAATACTCTTGGAAAACTTTTGAACTACATGCATTTTTTTAATTCGCTTGATGAGCTGAGTCGAAATATAGCAAAATTTTTTAAATTTCCGGCCGTCATGATCGAGGACCAATGTAATAGTTAGATTTCTATGAAGTCTACTAAAAATTAAAAGTTTAAATATTAATAAATATGTTTTTATTTTGTATCTGTTTTGGATACTAAGGAGAAAAATGGATAAGCCGAAGAAAAATATTGACTCCTGCATTTCACCTGCATAATCTCAGAGAGTATATGGATTGCTTTATTAATCAAACAAATCATTTGATTAATAATATCAAATCAGAATCGGGTTCAAATGGAGTTATTAAAGAACTAATGCCGTTACTTACAACATTTACTCTTAATACAATAGTTGGTACGTTAGTATGCATATATTTATCAGATGATTATAATAAAATTCATAATAATTTTTTTTTCTGCAAGTAGAAACAACCACGGGTATTGCAATTGAAGAAAATGACATAGAACAGTACAAGCAATCAGTTTACGAATTTGGAGAAACATTTATTTATAGGTAAAGATTTTATCCTATTAAAAAAACTAAGTGATTATTCAATAAATTGTAATACTTATTACATTGATTTATAGAACTTGCAGACCATGGTTGAGGTCGGAGTTCCTTTTGAAGTTAACATCTAAAGGTCGACAATATCAAAAAAATTTGAATGATCTTCATAGTTTCACTAAAAAAGTATTTAATTTTTGAAATATAATTCTTTCAAATCAATAATTTGTTTTTCTTTTTGAATCAGATAATCGAAAAACGTAAGCGATATTACGAAGAAACTGGAGGAAAATATTTAGATAGCTCTATGTCACCAGATAAAAAAGATCTTCAACCTATCCAAGGTATTCAAAAAGCTGTTATAAATGTGTGATTATTAGTACTCGCTCCATGCAAACTGTATATTTTTATACGGGACTTTTCATCCCAAATTGTACAGTTTAAAAATTTTTTTTTGATTTTCGAAATTTTTTGATATTTTTTAGTATCCATCAAAAAACTCCTTCCGATAAATTTAGAAATTTTTTTGATTACCGACTGAAGATTTCAAAATATAAAAAAAAATCCTTTTTTTTTTATTTTTGAGTTTTTTCCTAGTTTCAAGATTTCAAAGTCGTTTTCTAAAAATCATGTATGTTTTAATCTTCCTGAAAATTTTTTATAATAAACTACTATATTTTCCGCAACTTTTAAGCCCGGTCCAATCATGGGATCTTTTATAGCAACTAACTTTTTTTTTCGATTTTTGAAAGAAAAATTTTTCCTACTTATCATCAATGATCAACAAAATCTCAAAATTTATCTGTAGAAGTTTTTTGATGGATACCAAAAAATATCCAAAAATTTCGAAAATCAAAAAAGAATTTTTTTAACTGTTCGATTTGGAGTGGAATGTCCTATATATACAAAAAAAGAATTAAAATTTCATCATTTTGAATTCTTTTCAATCAACATTATCAAACAAGGTTGTAGTAGTATTGATAAAACCAGTTTTTAAAAATTTAAGAATTTTGATATTTTTTGAGTGAATTAAGGGGGTATTCTGATCTAGAAGCCTAAATTTTAGGCATTTTTCAAACTAACAAAAAAAATGAAAAACATTTTTACTATACGTTTTTTTATATCATGTTTATTGAAATTTAAAGAATATAAAAAAAAATGAGAAATTTGAAATATTACAGGCCGGTGAAGTGGGGGCTACAAAAAAAAACGGTGCACCCTGGTTGACATGATTCCAGCCCATGTAGTGATCTGAAACAAAAAAACTTGAACAATTCTCAATTAGTGATGTCGCTATTGCGTTGACCTTAGCCAAAAAAAAAAAAAAAATTCACAAAATGGCGTCGACATGAAATATCAATTTTTTTACTCCTTTTTTTTGAGCTTTTCGAATTTTTAAAAAATACTTTAAAATCGAAATTTTTCAAAATCCAAGACAAACGCGATAGAGAGATATATAAAAAAAAAACTCCCACCAAATTTTAAAGGAATCGGTTGAGTAGAACTTGAGATATCATGTCAACCACTTAAAAAAAAATTAGTTTCGAGAAAAACGTGTTGAAAGTTTGAGAAACAATTTCAGTAGAATAACTCGGATAATAATATTTAATACTTACTTTGGATTAATCGGCGATCCCAGATCTATACATTGGGCCTTCTTCTACTTCATACTCAATGTTTTGCACAGTTTTTTCTGCTAATCGAGCTGTTCTGCCTTCTTTTGAATTAACAGAAGCTCGCAATTGTGTGACTCGCTCCAATCGACCGGCTTAAATGCTGCGTCACAAAATCTACTGGATCTCCGAACATAATTCGAATTTTTAATAATGCATTTAAGAACATGTACTTAAGGGCCTAAACTTTGAAAATATGAAAAAAAAATCGATTTTTTCAAATTTCTAGACCAGAATACCCCCTTAAACGATTTGATGTGATCGGTCCGAGCGTTTAAAAATTATGAGAGGTTCACACAACATTCATAAATGTTGGAGAAGATAAGAATGTTTAATCATAAAATATGTTTTATAGCCAATCAGAAAAAACTTTCTTTTCTGGATATTTTACTCTCCGCTGCTGAACGGAATGAAAGTGTCGATGATCGAGGAATTCAAGAAGAAATTGATACTTTCATTTTTGCGGTGATTATCAAAAATACCATTTTTTAATTAAGAATACTCTAATCGTTGATAAATCTTTAGGGTCATGATACTACTGGAATGGCATTACTATTTATTATCTTATTACTGGCTGAACATCAAGACATACAAGTAAATAATTATTCATTCTACAATTGATTTACACAATTTAAATTTTAAAATTATCAATCGAATAAAAATAAATATTCTTGCAATTTTTGAAAATATCAAAGAGCTTTGTTTATAATATATACATTGCAATAAAAATTGCATTAATATTTTATAGAATCGGGTAAGAGCAGAAATTGAGGAAGTATTAGCGGATAATAATGGAGAAGTAAATTTTGATAATATCAAACACTTAACATACTTGGAATGTTGTATTAAAGAAGCATTGAGACTTTATCCCTCAGTCTCAGTTATATCGAGGAAAATTCACGAAGATTTAGTGTTAAGTATGGCTAGTTTTTATTGAAAAAATAATATTTATTTCTGCTTAATCAAGTAACAAATTGTTAAAGTCGAATTTCGATTAATTATTATATTTATTACTTATTTCAGAGCACTGTTACGTGCCAAGAGGAACGACTTTAGCTCTTCGAATATTTGACACTCACCGAGATCCTAATTTCTGGCCACGTCCAAATGTGTTTGATCCAGATAGATTTTTGCCAGAAAACTCATTAGGCAGACACCCTTTTTCATTTATTCCATTTAGTGCTGGTTCACGCAATTGCATTGGTAGATCTTATTTATACAATCTTCTGGAAAATATATTGAATGCATAATTAATGAACGATCTACATTATTTCAGGCCAAAAATTTGCAATGCTTGTATTGAAGACTTTTATGGCTGGTCTACTTTACAACTTTTATTTGGAACCTCAAGAAACCGCCGCCAATGTACGTTTGCTCCCTGAACTTGTAATAAGACCGGCTCATTCAGTTGATGTCAAATTTGTGCCAATAAATAGAGATCGTTGTTAATTTTATACATAGAAAATATTGGCGAACCAGATCTCCAAAATATTGTGGGAATAATTGTTTCAATTATTATAAGAGTTCTGATCATATAGCTGTAAATGTATCTAAAAACCGCGGTCATTCGAAGATAAATTACTATTAATTAAAAAAAATTACTTGATTTTATGATTTTACCCGCATAAAAATACTATATATCGTTAAAAATATATTATGCAATATATTGCAAATAAGTGATGAATATATCGCGGCAAAATTGTCTATATTGAAAAGTATAACTTTATTCTATATATGGAACCATGTATTTTAAATAATAATAATATTCGTTAATATATGGTGATCCATATATCGTTTAGTATATATATCATCTGCTATATTACCGAATACATAAAAACTATATATAATATATCATGTACAATATATGAAGAAATGTATGTGACACCATATATTTTTCGAGACATTATTTTAAGTATAAAGTATCAATATATAAAAAGTTGTACCGATACACATATGGATCGTGCATACATGAAGCAATTATATTGATGAATATATGGTTTATACATGAGAATAATATATTTATTTACAATATATTTTTTATATTATTTCGGCAAAATTATATATATGATTTTATATATCGTTCCATGTATCACATTATCATTATAATATCAATATATTTTAATCATATATTTTGAAACATATAATCCTTTTCCAAGCGGGTACTCAGTTTTACGGAATTTCTCAAAATTTTACTTATCTTACACGCACACTTGTTAAATGTTTTTATATAATTATAATTATAACCTACTTATAATTATTTACTGTAAAATTCAAAAAATTTTCTGCATAAGTCAAAAAATATTGAACAGTTAAATATTTAATTAAGATAAAAACCCTGTATTTTTATAAAAATAAGTGTAAAACTCATTGATTTAAAATAATTTCTCTATTCAACTTAATGATAAAATGTTTTAAATAAATTCTTATATTTATTCAATGATTATTTTTATTATTTGATAAAAAATTTCGGTAATTTTTGCAGACAATAAGTTTCCCTAGTTGGCCTGAAAGTATAAAAAATCAATTACGTAAAACTATATATTTATAGAATTTTTAAAATTTCAATTCTTGGCAGGTAATACATTTTGTATCTAAAAAAAGAACAATAATATTATGCAAAATTAATAAATGCAAAAAAAATTAGGAAAACGGTTGACCCCAACAGCCATCCCTGCACCTTCCCGCTAATGCCGTCAATACCTGGGCGCTTAAAATTGCACCTACGAAGTCTTCGAGCTCAAAAATATACCTTTTCTATGTTTTTGAGCTCTTCGAGCTGTCATATTTCTTTCGAAATCGGATTTATTGCATATTTCGGTTCTTTCAATTTCCCCATACTTATACCAGGACCAAAAAATATTAAATCCGTGGTCAAAACCTAACCAATCGGTCGATATAAATCTCGTTTAGTTGAGAAACCCCATAAGTCAGTGACTTATCGGATCCGGCCCTTGCTACCAAAGCATTAGACCGGGTTCGAATCCGGCCCACACCAATGAATATTTTCAATATTTAAGTGTATTATTCTGCTCAGCCCAAATTGTCACCCAAAATTCCAATCAATACAAAATAAATGCGATGACTTTCTCCGTTAATACTAATTGTTATGCCAAATTGTGTTAAATAATTTAATTCATCTTTTATCTCAGCAAAGCATCTTTCAGCACCGAATTCTTTATAATCGGAATTATGTATTAATTGGGGTAAAAAAACATTAGCTGTAGTTGACGCAAATTGAGGTGGTAACGCAGCGATAGAGCAGTATAATCCTCCAACCTTATAAATTCCTGCTGATGTTGAGAGAGGGTTGTCAATTTCGAAATCATCGTAATAAAGATATAGAGGTATAACAATTTTTTCTTGAAATGCTCCAGAAATATTTTTCCACAGTGTTCCTTGAAATAAACTAGAATAAATATCACCTTGACTTTCAATCCTTGCAGATTCAGTTTGCATAAAATTCATAATAGTTTTAAAAACATTCGGTAGTTCTAAAAATTTTTTTAACACTGCACGTAATGAAATTATTTGACCATAGCACGCTTTTTTTGTCCACTTAATACTGTTATTTATATTTTTATCATCACCAATTTCACCTATTTTAAATTGACGTGGAGCAAAATAAAACTCGGAGTTTTTTAACTGCTGCATGCATCTCCATTTTGAGTCAAAGTTTTCAAAAACATCTAATTTAAAACAGTCTTCCATGAAATCGTGATATTCAATAGGTATACGCTCTTTTAATTTTTTTAATGTTGTAACCGAAATTTCTGACATCAATTTTTGAAATTCTTGAATAGTCTCTTGAGCCAGTTTTTCCGTAACGGTTGTATTACTATAAAATTTACTAATAAATTTGAAAACTTCGTTTTCAATATCAATTTCAGTAGGCTCCATATTAAATTATTAAAATAACATTATTTAAGTTCAGATAATTAAAAAAAAATAATAATAATATTAAATAAATATTTTGAATCACGTAGTTTTAAAATCTTGTAACAATCAAAACTTAAGTGAATGATTTTCGATGAATGTCACAAATTATTTTAAGTTAACTGACAACTTATTTAAAACATTGTACACAAACGGTATTTGGACATCTGACTTTGTTTTAATTTTATAGAGCCCCCATTGAATAAAATACCAAAAATTTTGGCTTTCGACTGGGTATGCAATTTTAAACATTAAATAAAATTTAAACAACAAGTCAAATCCTTCAATAAACGTTGAAGTTTCAAATCTAAAATTATCGACTTGAACGTATACTTTTTGCAAATCCAATTCATTTGGTCCAACTACGATTAAAAATGGTTGGATTGTAGACTTGGTTTTTGCCTTTTGACAAATCTTTTTTTCACAAGCAGTGTCAACATCCCCAGGAACTTTAACGTGCATATAAACGCTTTCTATAGCAGCACTGAGAGCATCTTCTTGGTTGTTGTTTCGAGTGTGCGTCTCCTTTTTTGAGTTTTTACCCTTTCTACGCGGTTTCACAGCAGAAAGTAAATGAATAAATATTTCGAGTTGTATAATGTACTTGCTTAACGGAGAAACATTTTTTTCACTCATATCAAGCAACCTGAGCTTTGGAAGATAATCTTTAGCAATTTTGTCCACTGAAATATTTTTGAGAAGATGAAAAATATTTCCCCAACTTTCGTTTACGTTAATGACTTTATTTTTGTAAACATTATCATAATCCGTATTAATCTGTAAATATAAAATTTAAGAAATTAATTTTTTTTAAGCATAAAAAGAGAAAAAATTTTGTTATAAACTTACCAATACAGAGCATATCGATTCTTTTAGAATAGGCCAGTCATTAAATATGTCAGTTACACTTGAATATTTATTAGAGTCCACTTCAGATCTCCGCAGTTCGAAGGATGATTTCCAATGCAGCAAAACATCTAATTCTTCTCTATGATGCATCAACCATTGCTTGCTTTCCAGTGCTGAATTGTCACCAGTATTCAAAGAGATGCTTTCACTCTCACCAGTATTATTAAAACACTCCGAAAATTTTTTTATATTTCTTATAATTACTAATGTATTGCGGTATTTGTCAACTAATTTTCCCTTTGAAATCAGACTCATATTACTTAGAGAATCTTTTTTCTTTACTGGAGGAACGTAAAAAGTTTGTGTACACTCAGCTGGAAATAACTCAACAATTTTTGAAGCTAACTCTTCATGGTCTTCGTTCACTAATGTTATATTTTTTTTTAAACAATCATATACAATGATTTCACACAGCGTAGATATCCACGAAGCCTCGAGTTGAATCTTTTTTTGGTTTGAAATAAGCAAGAGTTCTTTTCCAACAGGGTGTTCACTGAGCAGTTCTTTCAAGTTAAAATAACAAAATTTTGATTCTTTTTTTTTTTTTTTTTTTTGTGGTAACCTAATGTTATTTTCTGTTATCACCTTATCAAACACATTAGTATTAACGAAATCAACAGGTAAACTATCAATGTCTATATCACTAAACTTATCACTGATTTTAGAGCAATCACTTGTCACAGGCATCAGTTGCCAGCAAGTATTTGGTTGTGATTCATCCTTTAGATTAATCCTCTCTTGATGTGAAATCAACTTACCACAAAAAGTCGAGTATAACTCACTCAAATCCCACGATTGTAGCAAAGCTTCCATTTTATTAATTGTTTTTTCACAAAGTATCAAAATAATAAGCAACTTATCATATGAAAATCGCAAATAGAGCTGGTCATTCAACGGGTTATGACGCGCAATAAAAAAAAGGCGCGGAATCGTATGTCGTATATTACCATGACGCGCACGCACACACGAGTATTCTGTTATGTATATATATACATATTTATTTATAACTACGCGTTAAGTATAGCCATCTACCAACACCGACCACCAACAAAATATTTGTTAACTATTAACAAATCTTATTTGGTGGAAATAAATATTTTTTTCAATATATTAAAGCTTCTTAATAGTTACAAAAATTTTGTTCTCATAAAAAATTGATTTAGTTAATACTAACGAATATTGTTAATAGTAAAAAAATTTTTTTTCCACCCAAAAAAGTATCTGAAAAAGATTTTAATAAATTGATTTATTAAATACAAACAAATCCTTCTATCAGTGCATTTCAAACAGTAAAATCGTGATTTTACTATTCACATTGTAATATTAACAATTTAAACGTTACAATTTACTCTTTACATGGAAAAAAATACTATTTCAAACAGTAATATTCGCTATGTAAATGTCTAAAATGTTAATAATTAAGAATTCAGACTTTAATATTTATCATTTCGTACCTAAAAATGATGTTATGATATGTAAAAAGTATAAAATAAAGTTAGTAAATTTCTAATACAAGCAGCGTCAATATTTACAAAGTAAAATGGTAAATTTTAAACGCAACGCTAAAAATCAAACTGTAATTATTGACTTGCTTGGACTGGTAAAATGTATATTTTAAAAGTATAATTTTTACTGTTTCAAATGTTAAATTCTCCCAGAGTGAGACCCCCTTCTCTTTCATCTGAGTTCCCCTTCTCCTCATAATATCGACTATATATTGAAGTGGCAATTTTTACTGTTTGAAACTGTAATTTTTAAAGATGAAAGAGTCGTTATTTACTACATAGTGACAACTACTAATCACTTATTTTGGATATTAAATTATAAATTGTGGCTTTTATACTTTCTACATTAAGTTCTGTAATATTTATATTTTTGCCACCCCGATGTCCGCTTTACTGTTTGAAACTATAAAAACTAACCGGAATCCGAGTGAATATTACAGTTTACTTTTCTCCGTGTAAAAGTGAAAATTTTTGTGATTTTCAAAAATATTTGTTTTGCTGTCATTCCTAAACTATTTAATTTAGAAAAATGAATTAGTATGGAAATTAAAGCTGATTAAATAAGCTTTCAGCCGCAATTTTTAGAAATTAAATATGATATCGCGTTTAATTGTTATTGCACGGGAATACAGTAAAAGCGAAAAATTTTTGCGATTTTTGAATTGCTATATATCATTTCAAAACTAATCGACTGATTTGGCACATCTTCGAACTTAATCTCGGAAATTGTCCTACGAATGAATATATTACGTTTTATTGAGATCCGTATAGAATTGTGGGAGTTAGAGAAGAGACACGGCCGGTTATATCATGTATATATAAACTTTTGAACTATATGCATTTTCTGAATCCGCGTGACGAGCTAAGTCAAAATATAGAAAAATTTTTCAAAAGTTCCGTCACGGGGACCAATGCAATAGTTAGATTTCAATGAGATCTACTAAATATTAAAAGTTTAATTATTAATAAGTATGTACCTATTTTGGATACTAAGGAAAAAAATGGAAAAGCCGAAGAAAAATATTGACTCCTGCATTTCACCTGCATAACCTTAGTGAGTATATGGATTGCTTTGCTAATCATACAAATCATTTGATTAAGAATCTCAAATCAGAATCGGGTTCAAATGGAGTTATTAAAGAACTATTGCCGTTACTTACAACATTTACTCTTAATACAATAGTTGGTACGTTAGTATGCATATATTTATCAGATGATTTTAATAAAATTCAAAGTAATGTTTTTTTACTGCAATTAGAATCAACCACAGGGGTTGTAATTGAAGAAACTGATATGGAAGAGTACAAGCAATCAGTTTACGAATATGGAGAAACATTTATTTATAGGTAAAGATTTTATCTTATTAGAGAAACTCAATGATTATTCAATTAATTGTTATACTTATTACATTGATTTATAGGAGTTTCAGACCATGGTTGATACCGGAGTTCCTTTTTAAGTTAACATCTAAAGGTCGAGGATATCAGAAAAATTTGAAAGTTCTTCATAGTTTTACTAAAAAAGTATTTAATTTTTAAAATATAATTTTAACAAATCAATAATTCGTTTTTCTTTTTGAATCAGATAATCGAAAAACGAAAGCAATATTACGAAAAAACTGGAGGAAAATATTTAGATAGCTCTATATCACCAAATAAAAAAGATCTTCAATCTATTCAAGGTATTGAAAAAACTGTTATAAATGTGTGAATATTAGTACTGAAATTGGATTTAAAAAATCTGAAGTATGGTTGACCCTGCAGACTGTCACGGTAACTTCCCGCTAATTTCAAGTTCAAGCTCGAAAAATTATTTTATTATGAAATCTTGAGCTTTTAAATCTCACCAATACAACTTTTATAACTTTTCGGGCTCCAAAATCTTCTTTGAATAAAAATATTGATTGATAAGAATTAAAAAGCGGTCGCTCCATGCAAACTGTACATCTATACGGAGCATTGCACCCCAAATTGTACAGTTTAAAAATTTTTTTTTGATTTTTGAAATTTTGTGATATTTTTCAGTATCCATCAAAAAAACTCCTTCCGATAAATTTAGAGATTTTTCTGATCACCGGTTAAAGACTTCGAATTTTGAAAGAAAAAACCCTTTTTTTTTTTAATTTTTCGCTCACAACTTCTACAAAAATGGTCCAATTTAAAACTTTTTTTTTTTCTAATATTTGTCTTTTCATGTTTTTTCCAAATATAAAAATAATTTGTTTTTTTTAAGTTTTCTGAGTTTTTCCTTAGTTTCAAAATTTCAAAGTTGATTCCTAAAAATCATGCACATTTTGATCTTCCTGAAAATTTTTTAAGATAAACTATTCTATTTTCCGCGACTTTTTGGCCCGGTCCGATAGTGGGATCTTAAACGAACGACAATTTTAAGACAATTTTAAGACGATTTTTTTTTACACGGGTAGCTTTTAAAGTTTTTTGCATGTGAAATTTTTTTTTTTTTTAATTTTTTAATTGAAATTTTTCAATAAAAAATTTCTAAATTTCCGCTAACTTCATTTTGATATGTAAGTACGTTTATATGTGTAAGTGTAATTTTAAGTCCCGAACTTGAACCCGGAGTCCGAAAAGGAAAAGACGGTCCTGGAAGAGATCCTTTGGAATTTAATATAATGCTTCAACTCTAAAACCAACTGCCAGAGGCCAGTTACTATATTTTATTTTACTCTGCAGACCATCTACATCTACATCGGGCCATTTAGACACAACATTGAACCCTCAGTGTTGTGAATTTGATCTATAGGTATATGGGTATGCTGTTACATTATATATCGGACGTTTTTTTCACCTTTAAGGAAAAATCTTTGGTATTGGTAGTGATCTTACAATGTAATTCTTAACAATAGAAGAATATTTTTATAAAGAAGGTTTTACCAGCAGATATTTTAATTAAAAACATGAAACATCTGCGCTTTTAAAGATTAGTTCACTGTTAATGGAATTTTTATTTATTACGAGGAACAGTTGCAGATTTTTTTTTTATAGAGAACAAAAAATTAACATTTTCTTAATTTGAGTAGAAAAATTTTTAAGCTAAGAAAATTTCTATAGTATTTTTACTAAAAATGTGTTGGAAGTAATTACGCACCATGATATAAGTAAAAAAAATCATTGAAATTAGATAAAACAATTTTTTTAACATCATTATTAATTTCTGAATTAGAAAAAAAAATTTTTAATGCTTAAAAAAATTGAAAAATCAATCAGAGTAGCAGAGCGTTTTTTTATAATTCTTCTTCGTCAGACAAATTTTACCAGATTGGAGATTTTTTAATCTTGATTAAAGACATTTTTAACAGTGTAAATTGTACGGAAAAGATTTGTTATTAAAAGATTTTTAACGATTTTATTTTCCAAATTTTAAACAAAAATTTACAGATTTGTTTCATTAATTAATATGCAAAAAAATTGATAGGATTAGAAATCAAAATTTTTTTATACAAATAAAAGTTCTTTGTTGGAGAAACAATTTTTTCGATTTATTTATTTATTTGCCATTACACAAGCCCAACAGCCCAATAACAGAGCTACTTAATTTTTACAATGATAAAGATTTTGACAGAGTGAAAAATTTGTATAATAGTGTGACTTTATATAAACTAAAATTTCTATATTTTAAATACAAATATTATCCTGTTTAAAATGAAATTTTCTTACAAAAATTTCTCCTTCAAAATAATTTAAGCCTTGCTAAAAATTTTTTTTAAATTACCTTAAGTTTTTTTTTTGACAATAATGATTGTTAATGATTATTCAAGTCAATTAAAATTATCATTATTAGTTCAAAAAATTAAAAAACGATTTAACGATATTGGTAAGATATATTCTTCAAATGTTTAAACTTGTAATTTTAACGTAAAAATTTTATTTTAAATTATAAATCTTACAACATGTCACTTCCATAACTATTTCAAATGGTGAAACGTAAAAAATACTTTTTTTTTTTCAAGTACACTATGTCTTTTTTTGTACAATATTTTATTTTGATGGTTACAAGAGTGCCTGTTAATTTTTAAATCCAACTATTTATAGATAAATTTTATCTAATCTTAAGACAAGTAATAATAATTAAGCTGTCAAGATTTGTTGTGTAATACAAAAAATTTTTCCTCTTTTTAGTATATACGTTTATAAAAAAAAAAAAAAAGTTTCCTAGAGATAACATTTTCTTGCTACATTTCTAGTTGACTCATGAAATTTTTGTTTTGTAAACTACTTGGTCACCTGAGTAAAAATATTTAAATATTTAAAAGGAAAAATTGAATTAACCAGTGGCCCTGGAGCAACTTTTAAAGTTGCAGAGAAAATTTTAATTATTGCGTAAAAGTTATTAGTTTTAATTTTATTATAAAAGTTTCGAACGAATCAAAAATTAAGTTTCAATTTTCAAATTTAATTTTTTTTTTTTTGTGGATTTTAAATCATTAATAATTATTCTCTAATCTAGAAAAAGTTTTAGCCAAGAGCGATTTTTTGAGGTATGCTTCAGAATGTGATAAGTTTAATAAATTAAAGCAAAAGATACAGTAGTAAAAAAAAATTTTTTTTAATTTGTTAGTGCTTTAAACCAGAATTTCAATAGCTTGTCAAAAAAGTTCAATAAAAGTGGGCAGGAAAAAGTAATATACACTATGACCACCTGGAAATTCAATATATACAGGTAGTACAGAAAAAAGTGTACCTTAAAGTTTAAATAGGATAAATCATAGCCAAAAAAACCCTAGTCCTACGCTCATGGCATTGAAAAAAAGATTTTTCACTCATGCGCAGTGATGTAGAGACAGCAATATCGGTCCTACTGCTTTCACTTGTATTTTTATTTTGGGGACCAATAGGCCACAATATAACTTACTTTGTTTACATTTTGAATGTTAGGTCAAAGATTCAACGCGACTGAAATAAAACTTAAAAACTCCACATTGGAAACAATTTTATCACTTGGAAAAAACGACTCTGTAAAAATTACGGAAAAAATATGTAATTATTACAGGTAAAATTATGTGAAAACTGCAGATTTTTTTTGTAAAATTTACAGATAAATTTTGTGAAATTTATAAGATTTTTATTTTATCGTTGCAGAGTAACTTCTTGAATTGAAATTAAGTTTGATTATCGATTAAAAATTTAAATAATAATCTGTTAATAGTAAATTAAAAATTTTTATTATGGGTGGATAAATAACTTTTTTTTTCTGTTTATAAAAAAATAATTTAGGCGCGCAGTAGCCTATCGGATCCGGCCCTTGCTACCAAAGCATAGGACCGGGTTCGAATCCGGCGTACACCAATGAATATTTTCAATATTTAAGTGTATTATTCTGCTCAGCCCAAGAAATACAAACGAGTTCCAATCTCAAAAGTTTACCCCCTACCGTAATAGTCGCTCATGACCTTAGTAGTTTATGCGACTTTAAAACAAAAAAAAAAAAAAAAAAAAAAAAAAAAATAATTTATCAAGAATTACTTTGTACAGAATCAGAAGTATTAAAATTTTTGAAAAAATTCATAAAGATGATATAAATTAATTTGCAATAATGCTGACTCGAGTAATGCTTTTTAATTAATTACAATAAATTTTCAGTAATAATTACTGAATAATTAGTAGTATTTTTTATTGCTTTCCTGTACATATACATTGCAATAGAGGTTACATATATAAGAAGTGTACATAAAGATACTTATTCATATAAAGTTACAAATTAATAATAATTTACGTATTTTTGTTTGTCTTGGATCCTCTTAAAAAACAGAATTTTTCAATAAACAGATACAGAGTTTTCAATTGGTTCGGTTTGTAAAAATTTAATATATCATTTAGGATGTCGTTAGATTGTACGATGCCAATGCTACTTAGAAAATTTTTTCTTAAATTATTTAGGGTCGGGCAGCTAAGCAAAAAGTGAGACAGTGTGTCTTTTTCTCCAGAATCACAAATAGGGCAGTTAGAAAAAGGGAAGAATTCATTCACTATACCGTTTATAAATATTTTAAAGCCAAAGCTATTTGCCGTTCGCAGTTGAGCAAAGACTTTTTTAACTTGTAAACCTACATTACTCTTAAGATAGTTGTTTGAGTTTTGAGAACAAATTACTTTCGATTCAAGATATGCGATATTACGAGTTTGAGTAAGAATATTTTGCTCTAGGAGTTTTCTATATTTTTCGAGTAGTTTTATACCAGCCCTCTCCCATACATTACTATCTAGGGTGTCGATAAGGAACATGAAATTGGGGTCTACTGTGTTAATAAATGTAGCAATTTGAGCAAACCAATTATATTCCGGAGCCTTATAATTATTCTTGTATAAAGTTAATTGTTTTTTAAATCACAAAAATGGCAATCTATTCTCGTCCATACTTAGAATTTTTACAATCCAGTTCCAAGTATTTTTCCAGATTATCAAGGACAGACCCAATTTGTTTGATTCAAGTTTAATCAACGCGTTTGAAGTAGTTCGTTTGAGACTATAAGTATTGACTTAAAGTACTCAACTATTAGACAGTCCAAGTCCTCAGTGTACCTCAGTGCCCATATGGGCGCAGCATATATAGGGCTACTGAGGCCACCATACCATCAAACAGAGAGGTTATAATGTCGAAGTTATTTATTTTGGCTCTATAAATTAAGGATAGGACAGCTCCAATTGCTGACCTAGCTTTTTTAATCGCATTTTTTAAAGCTAATCTACCTCTAATTACTGAATAATAAATTATATTCAAACGACATTCTTAGCTAAAGCAATACTCTTCTCATAAAAATTAATAGAGCAAAAAAAAGTTTTAAAATTTTTTGATAATTTTTGACGGATTTTATTGAAGTGAAAATTGGTATTAATATAAAAAAAAAAAAAGAATTCTTTTGTCAAGATTATAGTTTTTGGATCCTTCGGTCAAAGTTTTTTAAGAGTTATGGTCTTCAAGGAATTCTAAGGAATATTACAAAAAAGTTTGGAAAATCCAAAAGTGCACGCCTCATAATCTCATTTTTCACAATAAAATTGATTAAAATAAAAAAAAAGACCATTCGGCAGCCGAAATGGAAGTAGATTTCATCATGAATAGAAAACAAATATAACGAGGATTGTATACAAAATTAGGGTTTTTAACTTCTCTGTAATCGACAAAAATATATATCAACAGAAAAATTTTAAAACCAGTGCAATAGCAAATTTCATAATTGGCATAGCGGAATAGGACATAATTTTAAGACTATACACATATGATATGGTACTCAAATTGAAGCTTATTTGAAGAGCTTTCGAATGCATTTTACAAAATTTCAATAAGTTATCCCATTCAAAAGTTATTCGAGTAAGAAAGTGAAGAAATATCTAGGACCTCAAAACGTCGAGATCTGATGAAAACTCGATTTTTGCAAAACGGAGTAAAACCAATAACTTCCCGAATTTAAAAAAATTTTGAATTTTTTTTAGCGGGAAGTTAAAAAAAATGGACTTAAAAAGTGATGTTTTCTGGGCATTATTGTGACCATATATTTATATTTCTTCTATGAATTCTAAACATATATGTAATTATGTTCTCATAATTCATTAGTGTTAATTGTATTTATTTCATACATAAGCGCAATCGTGGAATAGAAACTTCACCAATAAAAACGAGAATTGATATCGATAGAGAAATTACCAAAAATAAGAAAATGGAATATAAATCCGGCATAACAATTGGTCGATACAGATCGGATACTTGAGCACTTTTTCTAAGGCTTAATTCTGTCATAAGTTTATTGTTTCCACGATCGTTCCACAAACGGATAAAACCCCCTGCAGATAATTTTGACATAATATGATCAACTCTGGGTTTAAGAGGCCAATCTCTGCGAGTTGACGGACTATAAAATAGTGGACTAGGGTACAAAATTATATGAAAATTACCATTTAAAGCCCACTGTGAAAAGCCATGACCTACCAAACATGCTGAGCGAGAATTATTACAGCGAATAAAGTCGTTACAAGGGTAACGATGGTGAATCTTGACATATTTTTTCTGAGTATCTGTCCATTGATCAACTCCAAAAACTTTTGCAACATATGGCTTCATATGCATTGTATATTTCAAATTTTGTAAATCGGTGACACTATTTATCTCTTCCTGGTAGAATTTTGTTGAATATGCTGACATGAAGCCTTGATAAATATTATTCATAAATATAACAAAAATTAAGATGGAAACTAGGAAAATTCTTAGCGAACTTTTATAAAACTTTAAAAGAATACTTGTACTTAATACCAATCGCAAAATTTCGAGTAACCCTGATCCAATTGATAGCCTTTTGCTGAGTTTAAATACAATCCACGTTATTACGAAAACGATAACAATTAAAATAATTACTTCAATACTGAAAACGGATTCCATACTATCTAAAAACAAGGGAATTTTATTGTGATAGGTAGTTATCAGAAAAATTTCGGGAGTTCTTGGATAAAGAAACTCAAAAACATCATCTACAATAGTATCATACATTACGACAATGTCATATTTATCATTGAACATATCATTATGTAATTGTTCGAGGGTTTGAGCTTTAACGTCTACCGTCCCGATTTTTTTATCAGAGTAATGAATTATGGGTCTTACATTTAAAGCAGAAAAAATTTCCTTAAACGTTTTGCTTGTTAGGTATGGCATTTTATGTCTTATTGAGTCGACATTATAAGTCGCTTTTATTGTACCAGATAAAAAAGGTCTTATAGCGACAACTTTATATCCATTTAGGAGTTTTGTTTTATCAAAAAACGACTCGTTGCAACCATGCCGACCTAATTAAAAAAACAAAAAATTTAATTAACTCTCTAGTTGATTTTTGAGACCTTATCAATTTTTCTATGAAACAAATTTTTACTGATATACCTGATGAGTCCAACTTCTTAAATAGTGTCCATTGCTGATCTTGCTCTTTGAATATATTCTTCACATGTTGCCATGGGTGTGGTGCATAATTAGCATACGGATTGTACGTATACAATGTAATAGTGTTATCAATGTTACGACAAATAAATAGGGATGACAGCAAATTCATCTTCCACATGACTTGAAGAATTTTCCAAGCATCATTATCATTACAGTTTCGAGAAACTTCTACGATGAAAAAATAAGATTTGATATTCCACCATGGCAAAGATTTTATTTTTTTGAGGACTGTTCGAAGTTCGTTAGTAGACAGAATGTATGTTGGGAATTTTGGTAAAAAAATTACACTGTCATTACTTATTCCAAAGTTCTCGGCGATTGAAATTGTTGGTATAATTTCTTTGGTCCATAATGATTCACCAATAACATTTCTGATGTCATTTGATATGACAACTGGATTCAATTTTCCAGAAATGCACGATTCCATTGATATTGATTCCTACACAGAAATAAGTAAACTGTAATATTCATTCGGATTCCGGTTAATTTTTATAGTTTCAAACAGCAAAGCGGATATCGGGGTGCCAAAAATATAAATATTACACTGAGAGACAATTTTATTTAATAGTAATAAAAAAGTTTATTTGGACTTGAAAAGAAAACTTATAAGACTTATAAAACTATAGTTAATAGTAATAAAATTATATTCCATATGAATAAAATTTTATTAGTATTTAAAAAAATTTTCTTAAATACTAATATGTGTTTTTAATACGAATATTAACTCATTAAAACAAATAATTTCAAAAAAAAATTAATAGGGGAGCTTGGGGTCGCCCCGGTCACCAACATTTAAAAAAATCTACTATACCTTAAATTTTGAATTTTGTTTTATTTTGTACTCTTATTTAGCCGAAAGTAAAAAATAGATTCAAAACTTAAAAATATAGTATTTATTAGTAATAATTGAAAATTAAAAAATTGATCCTTATCTGATCTAAGAATCGGAATCATTTCCGTAAGGCTTTTAATATAGTTTACAACAAGATGAAAATTTATAATTTTTATGTATATAATCTGTAAATCTTCCTTTATAAGTGGTAATTTGTATTATACTGTAATTATTAGTCGTTTGCTTTTAAATAATGTTTATTTTCTCAACTATCGGTTCGGGTCATACCAGTCAAAGCTGTGGGGTAACACCGGTCAGTTTATTCAATTGTTTCTTGTCTGAGAGCTCGTGTGTTTATTTATAATTAACCACTATTTTGTAATTAATTTATCAATTATGGTAAATTATCTCGTAATTTTAAATAAAGAAAAATGGGTCAATTATTTCTATAAGGTCATATTTTTTATAAATTAATAAATAAATTATAGATGCCTCGTAAAAAAATCCGGAAAACTGAAAGAGGAAAAACTTCCACTGGTTCGGCGGATAAATCTCAAATATTGCCTAAAAACGCAAATTAGTTAAAAAACAGAAAATTTAAATGTTAAAAATTACCAATATTTAATGTTATTTGCTGCTAAAGTTTCAATAAAACAATAAATTAAAAATTTTTGTTAAATTTTAACAATATAATTCGGAATTCTATTTTTTAAATTAAATTAATACTGACCAAAGCGACTTGCCTAATGACCGGGGTAACC